TAAACGAACCCTTAAAAACTTCTTAAACAAAAAACAATTTCTATTAAAAAATATTTCAAGTGTTTTTTAAAACAAATAAAAAAACTCTTTATTAAAAAATATCTTAAAAATTTCTTAAATAAAAAATAAAAAAAAACTTTAAAAAATTTTAAACGTATATAAAAAAAAATTCTAATATCCGTTATACAAAATGAAAATCTTACTTATTGTAAAAATCATTATTGTTATACAAATAAAAATCTGACTTTTTGCGTAACTGCTATTTGGTTATACAATTTCAAACATATGACTTATTAAGAAATTACATAGTAAGTTTATACAAAATTGGATCCCAGTATTATATGTATTCTTCAGGGTCCTGTGCTGGTGCTATTTACGCGTCTATCTGTAATCTTCCGAGAGGACCCCGGATATCTAATATAAAGGTCATAATGGACTTTTGGCCAAAAACACCCCTTTTTGCTGAAACTCAAAAAATCGTTTTTTGTAAATATCTCAGCATCCAGTAATTCAATTTTAATGAACTTTTTTTTATTTTGTAGCCCTCATTTAGCTCTACAATTTAAAAAATAGTTCATCAAAATTGGACCACTGGATGCCGAGATATTTACAAAAAACGATTTTTTGAGCCCCTGAAAAATGGGCCAATCTGCCGAAAGTGTGACTTATGACCTGTTTTGGAGATATCCGGGGTCCTCTTCTGAGAACAGAAAGGAATAAACCCGAAAATATTATTTACTTAGGTTTTTTGCCAGGACCGAAAGAAGTAGGGTTGGAACGTATTAACTATTATTTAGCCCCTATTGTGGATGAGCTTTTAGAACTCTGGAAGGGCTGGAGAGTTCCAAAGATCTACCAATATACTGAAGGTTTAGACATAAAAGTTGCATTAATTATTGGATCATCAGATACACCAGCAACATGAAAGTTATTTGGGCATGGCTCAGCAGTAATGAAATATCATAGGTGTGAAAAGCGTAGTACTTATAGTGAAGTTTATAAAAAAACTCATTATGGAGGAATGCAAGAATATGATAAATAGGTAACAAATCCCATAAATCCTTTATTACATAGGCAATATGCTCATGAATGGTTGCAATGCAATTCGAAGTCCTCCAGAGATACACATTTTAAAGAACATGGTGTAAGGTGGAGCGAGTTGCTTCACTTACCATATATGGATCCCATAAGATTTGCCATAGTGGATCCAATGCATTGTCTTTTTCTAGGTATAGCAAAATGGATAATCAAATCCATTTTCATTAATCAAAATAAGTTAAGCATGGAGCAACTTCGAATTGCACAAAAGAGAATGGATTATATTGAATTACCTTCTAATATCAGTAGAATCCCCAAAGATTGCAATTGGAAATGAAGGTTTTTCAAATTTAACTGCTGATCAATGGAAAACCTTTATTATGATTTATTCCACGCCTATACTATAGAACATGCTAGATAATAATGATAGAAAGATCTTAGGACATTTTGTTCGAGCATGTAATCTTTTAGTAGCAAGATTTATTACAGAAGATGATCTGAGAGAAGCGCAAGAGAG